TAAAATTTTCCAATTTTTGGCCTTTATTTAATATTTTTTATTTAAAAAATAATATACGTTCAATTGATAAAAAATTTTCTTCATTGCTACTAGATATAAGAGGAGGCAAAATTAAAACTTTTATAATTTCTCAGACATGAAAAACAAATGATATATGTTCTTAAATTTTTGATACGATGATGATTCTTTTATAAGTAAAGCTACATTAACATCTCACAATGAATACAATTACTTTTTGAACAAAAAAATTTTAAATAATATGGTAGGAACATGAGTAACGTACTATAGTATTGATAAAGCAACTCACAAAGGAGTAGATAAATTAGACGATAATATTTATACTTATTTCTCTACAGAATATTTAAATAGAAGTTAAGAAGGTCTTTTTTTACACGAATTAGATTTAAACATCAACGCTATTGTTATGTTAATACGAAACTGAAACATATCTGAAGGACTTTGCAATGGTACAAGATCACGAATTACAAAATTATTTAAATACAACATCGAAGCTGAAATAATTACAGGTAAAAAAAAATAAAATAAAGTCTTTATTCCAAGAATAACACTACAAACAAACAATTCTTCTTCGCTACCATTTATATTGTACATAAAACTATTTCCATTTATCTTAACTCTTCCTATAACTATCAATAAATCTTAAGGTAAAAGTTTTGATGCCTTAGTGTTGTACTTTGGAAAACTTTTATTTTCTAATGGGCAATTACATGTTGCACTGTCTAGATGTTAAAACAAAAAAAAAATTTTTATCCCAACTGAATCAGAAAACAAGTCTGAAATTAAAAATATTGTTTGGTATGAAATTTTTAAGTAACAAAAAAACTATTCTATAGTTCATTCCTATTTTTATACTTTCTTGCAAATTTACCTTTCATCAAAAAAGCAAATTTCAGTACCGTCTAGTACCCAGATTTATGTAATCATAAACAATCCGTTTTTTGTAATATGCTTTCAGATACGCCATAATGGATGCAAAACTTTATCATTGTGACAGATGTAACTCAAAGTTTTTAAATCAAGAGTGTCTATCATCGCACGAAAAAATTCACAAAAAAAAATTTTCTGTACCTGATCTGTGTAGCATTATAATATTAGACAAGAAAAACTATTTGCGTTACACAAACGAATTACGAAACATTGAAAAAAATTTTAAGTGTATTCAATGCGAAAAAAGTTTAGAAAGAAATTATCACTTACAGAGACATTTAAAAAGTCATGAAAAAAACGTTCAAAAAAATATTTGTCAAAATTATGGAAAAGGTTATGTAAGAGCAGAGCTCCTAAAAAGACATTTTAGAGTATGTTATCGAAATAAACATCGTTAGTAAGATAATAGTAACAAAATTTTTTGTTAAGGTCAAATAAAATTATATGTGAAAATTAGACCACTTGTAACAGTTAATACATAAGGCTTTACGAATATATTTACATTATATATGGGGAAGCTGGGGGGGAGCGGGGGGGAGCTAGCAAAAAAGTAGGATTACTCGAAAAATGCAAGAAAATGAAAGAACAACTACCGTATTTGGGGCGAGCTGAGGGGGAGCTTGGGCGGAGCGGGGAAGGTGGGGGGAGCAAAACCTCGCTTTAACTTTTACGACTATATAATATAGGAAGATATATATCAAATTTTCCAACCTCTGAGGGAAACGGATCCTTNATATATGTAGCATACCATCACGCGAGATGAGTAGCCGCTGCTGCTGTGTTGTTGCGTCCAACTTTGTCACTTAATATCTAGCTAAAATGAAAAAATTACTCTCTAGAAATCGCCATACCGACGTAAAAAGTCCTGCTCTTTTAATTAGTGACAGTTAAAAAAATATTCAAAATGCCGTTTTCGAGATATAACACAATTTGTGTTTTATCTAGGTTAAATCGTCATTTTGTCAAAAAACCGATTGCATCACCGAAAAGCTAAGGAAAAAACATGTCGATCCTATGTTTTCATTATTTTTTTTCAGTTTTTTATAATACCGCAATCGCGAGTGGAAAAGTACACGTTTTGGTGCTCGCGGATCGCGCTAGGACATTTGACGTGAAATGCCTCGTATGCGTTTTTTATTTTATTAATCACGTATACAGTATACTGAAGGTGTAACAGCGCTACTCCTATAATACAATATGTTGACAAATAGAATGTATGGGCCTCTTTGTATATATGTACACATGGATCTATGAAGAAATGTGTAAAGACGTCAATCCATGTATTAATATCTTGATTCTCAATATTGTTTTACTGATTTTTTTGTGAAATTAAAAATTGTGGAAATCATACTCATAAATTGTAATTTACATGTGTCGTTGTTATTAAATTTTACCATCGCTGAGTCTTCAAATTATCTTAAATATGTGATACTAGTATATGAATCGACTTACTTAATGTATAATTGCAAAAAAAGCTGGAAAGTTATAATAGGCCTCATTGTCATCCGTACCTACCGTTTTTGCTACAAACATAGACTAAGAAGACAGGACCACAACAAAAAGTCAGGGTGCTTGTATCAAACCTCGCATACTCTTGGTTTATCAGGTCGCTAAAACCAAAACTAGTGTCAGAATTACCTCAGCACGTTAAGATTTTGTAAAATCTAACTTTAAAAAGTCGAATAATATAAGTTTTTTGACAAAATTCTGTAAATTAATGCAACCCATAGCCCCTATAATAAAAAATTCTCAGCAGTCAAGTCCTAATAGGCAAATCAACAACACAGAAATTTCTTTCTGAACTATTAAAGTTTGTACAACCTTACCTGAAAAGTTTGTACCTGAAACATCCAAAAATCCAGTAACTTGCGCTGTTTCACAAAATATCAGAAACTTTTGTCCTTATCAGTACTATAACCAAGGATTACAAAAAGCCCAAATAACCTTATTTTAATCCCCCAAAAATTCAAGTTACGCAAGTTTTTCTACGTAATTCTATGAAGTTGTGTAATCGTTGGCAACTATTATGATGTAAAAATATAAGGTGTTGCGTTGCGCATCTATTTTGATTAACCAATCAGGAACGCTTCCATCTTGCTGCCATGTCTGTTTGCGAATTTTAAAAGCTTTTAAAATATTAAGCATATCAACATCAAGAAACTCGTGAAACAATATATATTTTTTCTTACAATATTTTCATTCCAGTTGTTTCAGTAACCAAACGTACAATTTGTGAATATTTACACCGAAAAATCTGACTAAATAGGTAATCATTCATCAACTAACGTACATGTAAATTCATACGTATGTCTGTATATATATATATCACTTCGAGGTGGATTCGGGGGATAGGTTTTAGTTTCAACTTTAGCCACTTCGTTTCATTGCACAGGCTCTTCAGCGCTGTAGTAGTCACATCTCCCTCAAATATGGCGTCGTGATGGAAGGTGCAGAACGGCACGAAAATGAGACCTTGAAACGCCACACCTTGTATTTTTACATCATGGGCAACTATAACCGAAAATGGTTAACAGACTAGCTTTAAACTACAAGCCAACTATCTTAAAATTGTATTTTAAACCACGAAAGTAAACGAATTTTGAACACAAAAATGCAATAACGCAAGCTTTTTAAGGAAATTTCATAAACTTATGCACTCCATCGCACTTATAACCAAAGATCTTGAAGACAACAGCCGTACTTGCAACAGCTGTATTATCGATCGTTTGAACCAAAGGTCTGAATTTTTTTTTAATAAAAAATGACTGAGGTACTTTGATCGTCTTTTAAAATAGTGTGTAAGCGACAATAAATACTTTCAAAGTCAGTGTACGTTTTGCTACATGCAAATTGTGCAACTTTACTTAATGTGTCCTTTAACAATTCAATGCTTTCTTACATTACTCTACATTGTTATTTTTTCAGCATCATAAAATGCTAAATAAATATGTCTTTTGTGATTATTATGTACATTACTAAGTCTTGACGTAAAAGTAACACGACTAATAAAGAAAGATGTGATATACTTTTAGTAATCGATAAAATGTATATTTAAATAAAGAAAAAATAATTTAAAAAATGTATGTACATAATTTTAATCAACATGATGCTGTTTTATTAAAATTTTTTTTTCCTTGGAAGCAATGTGTCTTCTTTTTTTTGAATAATTGACGGCAAGATTTTTGTTCATGCACAGCAGCTGTATCTCTCTTAAGACTTAAACAGTAGCTTGCCAACATGTTCTCATCCCAAAGTCCTTGGTACCGGACCTTAAACTTTTAAAGCTCCTGATGGAATCTTTCTCCGTGTTCTTCGCTAAAGCCTCATAAGTTTTGAGGAAAATATTTGAGATAAGAGTCCAAGAAGTGGAGTTTGAAGTTCATGAGGTATTTCAAATGTATGTATGTAACCAGAGTGTCTTTTTTACCCTGGCGTAATCTGAGCTAAGATCGATGTTAACAGACACAACATCAATTTTCATCATTTGTTTATTGTGAATCACGATGTATTTTTTTACATCCATCTACAGTCCAGATGTAAGACCTAATCCATTCTCCTGTTGTCAATGTACAAATTATAAATGTTGATGTAGTGTTTGTTTACGTCAAACTCTAATGTAAGGCTCTAGCGAGAACAGGTTATTCTAAGCTTACTATTTTTCTGTATAAAATAGGGATAGACCTAAAATTAGTAGAAAAAATCTAACTATTTTTCGAACTATAGATCCATCGTAGTTATTGCTGATTCCTGCTTCCTTTTTATGTAGCCCTTACTATGTTTAGAAAGTATATCTGTACTTCATGTGGAATTTAGGGTAATTTTAGATAGAGCTGTTAGGCACATCAGTTTACAGAATTTCTTTTTTTAAGATATATAACTAGTCATGCTTTAACATTTGGTGAGTACTGAATTATTACGTGAAAAAATTCTCAATCATATTCAATCTTATTCTACTTTAGGTGTGAGCAAGGTTAGAATTTTAAAATAAAATTTTTGATAATTTTCAGGTACAAGAAGAAATGCAACACATTTACCAGCCTATTTCAACCAGTCATGAAAATAATGTTCATCCTATTTTAGAAGATATTAAAATAAGTTGTAGTGATATCAAAAGTACCTCAACAATTACNTGTTACGTAAATTTTTTTTTCCTGTTTTCAATGTATTTATTCTGCTGTCTTGCTATGTAAGAATGAGGTTTCAGTTTCATTAACTTGTTACATAAGTCTATGACAAATTCTGAAGCAGGAAGAATAAGTGTTTCTAGAGTACATCCATCAATCAGTTCAAATGTAAAAACTGAATTGAGCGTCAAAAATATTATTTTCCTCTAAAAATTGCTGTATATTGTTAGCAATACCAATTGTTCCTGGACAATTTGAACATTCATCTAAGTAAAAGGCGGGCGTTGCTTCTGGTCAATCCATTCGATGTAAACAATCCTTGTATGAGCAAATGGGATCTTCAACTGCTTTGATGAGTTCTGTATATCAATGGAATCCAACATTAATTGGCAATTTTAGTAAATTGTACACACACAAACAGAATGTGTACCATTAGCACCTGCAAGTATACAATGTTTTGGTCTTAATTAAGCAAATTTACTAAAGCCTACTGCTATTTCAGCATTTTCTGATCTATATTTCATGTACAAATCCTTAAGAGAATAAAATATAAGACATTTTTGTACCAAAACGCGACCATCATCTGTCTTTACCGACACAATGTCTTTAATACCAGGCATAATCCTACTATTGCTGTCAATATTATGAAAATCAGGTATGCTACTACAGATATCCATAGGTAGTGTTTTTCCGATTTTTTCTGTACAGCTAGCTAAAACACCCCTCACAGCCCGCAATTCTTTTGCTTTTTTTGCGACATGCCTTGAGCAGTAAAATTCTTTAGTTCACTCCAGGATAGAGGCGCTATTGTAAGAATTCTAACTCTTTCTGGATACCCATCAGGGAAAATAGAGAATTTCTGCTTCAAGCTATCAAGCATCTCTTCAATATTTACCTCCCTTTGGGATCTGGCTTCAGGGGCAGGTTCCAGAGAATCAGTTGACATTGTAGAATCATTAGTAACACTCAATGATGTTTCATCATTATCGATTTCTTTTTCGTTCGTGACAGATTGAACAGGTTTGGAAGATCTTTCAGTTTGGCTTGTGCTTCTTTTCGTGTCGTCAATATGTTGTGATCTATCGTGATCATTACAACTTACAATGTCATTTGCATATTTTCTGCATTTATCACAAATTCTAGTATTTTCTTGCAGGTGTGAAAACTGTCTCTTTAATGATCTCGATACTTTTCTTAAGCCTTTTCCTTTATGCCCATTATGCAAATAAAATGGATTACAACATCGGTCAGTGTGTACTTTTATTGACATAGTAAACTTCGATTCTTGATGACAAGTAAAAAAAATTGTATACCATGTGAAATTCATCGACAAATTTTCAATACAACTGATAAAGAAATAAAAAACAGAGCGCTTGTTTATAACTGAAAGACTTACGTAAAACCTGGTTATGTACACTTTAAAATTACTTATTATTTATATAAGGGATCAGCTTATACTATAGTTTGATGAATTACTATAATCAGATTTGTCTCAGATTACTTCATATTTTACACTTTTGAATAGCATTTTCACACAAGAGTCATGTAATTTTAAGTATACAAGTCGGGCCAACATACCCCATGCATTATTTTGTACTCTAATTACATTATCTATAGATTCTCTGTCAATTCTCAGAATCTGTTAAAAATGCAAATATTACTAGTTATGGACAAAACAGTATGGATATAAACAAAAAAAGCTTACAATACCTCTTTTCTATAAAGAAGAAATTATAACTTGTGCTTATTTCAATCACGAATAAAATAACTAGAGTATATTCCAGTTGCAATAGAAAAGAAATTAATGCGCTGTACACAGTCAATGCATTTGGTGTTAGTGTGTGGTAAGAAACTGGTGTGTTCGTACCCTTCTTTTGTATCTTATGGAACAATAGGTGTGTTCAATTTTATCCCTAGATTACAGTCAGTTGAGGGACAGAGATGTTAAAACAACCTGACGTCGGATAAACCTGCGAGTGCGAGGTCGGATAAGTTTGATAAGTTGATTAAACGGAAAAACTCAATTACGAGTTCCTTTAACCAAATAACTCAATAGACTCACTCTCACTACTTAGAAGACATCTATTAAAATAATAAAAGATCGTTATTTCTAAATTATAATTATTATTTAATCATTAAATGAAAAAATAATGTTAAAACAGCAGCATTTTAAACAAAATAATACAATAGACTTTAACCTAGCTAACCAGATGATTAAATTAAAAGTTATTTATAGCTAAAAACAATTAAAATTAGTTAATAAATCAACAGTAAAGAGCCCAAGTAGTAATCTCAAGCAACTTCAACCAGATGAACCCAACAGACTTTGACGAAAGACGTAGGGCACAACTAGTATTGAAAAAAATATTGCTCATTGCAAGAGAATCATAATACTCATAATAGAAATCAGTTAAAAAATAAATAAATAACAAACAAATCACTAAAAATTTCAACCAAAAAACTCAATAGACTTTTTCCTAGTGACCCAAAAGACAAAAAGTAAGAAACAACTGTGTGGAAGACGGTATAGTGCCGTTATGATTGGCTGCACCAAGCTTACAAAATTTTACTCTGTATAGTTATTGTAAAGTATATTTACTTTGTATACGGTGAATAGTATATGATGGAAACAGGTTAATTTAAACTGAATAAAGTTAAGAACAAGTAACTCACTATTTTTATGACCTGGGCCTCGCTCATAGAGCACGAAAGCCTAGCTGGCATTCTGAGCGGTCTGAATGGTTGTAGGTAGCAGGTCCGTTACCTAATTAGGTACTGAAGTGAAGGTTAAGTCCGAGAAGTCATTCAATTTTTTATAAATTTAATATCTGGCTGCGTTGGCTCTTCTTGTGCTCCCATTATCCCTATCATCAGGAGATACGGCAAAAATTTCAGTAAACTTTTTAGTTTTAGGTACTTCAGTCACTATAAATAAGGATAAAATTTATTTTTTAAGGTATTTTTGGAGGTTAGGAGCAAGCTTTTGTGTAATTAGTGTATGACAGTAAAAAATACGTAGACGCTAGCTACATTTTTTAGTCTTAAAGACCTTCAGACGCTGTACGTTACAAAAATCTGAGATTTTTGGATTTATTTTGAGGTTAGGTGCAAAAATCAGCATAGACGGTCAGACGGTTTCTGTAGAGCACAAGATTAAAAATAACAAAATTATTTACGTATAATATAGAAGCAGAAATAATAACGGGGGGAAAAAAAGCAAAGCTTATATTTCTAGAATAATATTGAATACTGGTACCTCATCATCATAACCTTTTGTCTTCTATAGGAAACAGTTCTCCTTTGTATTAGCATGTTCTACGTTTATCATCAAATCACAAGAACAGGGTTTTGATTCCTTAGGATTGTATATTAAAAAACCTTTATTCTCTTACGGACAATTACACGTTGCTTTATTAAGATGTAAGAATCCAAAAAGAATTTTTATTCAATTTAAATCTGAAAATAAATCAGAAATTAAAAATAATGTTTAGCAAGAAGTTTTTAGTTATTCAAAAATATGTTACTTTGAAGATCGTCACATTAAAACAGAAGTATGTTAATTCATAAAAACTATGGAAATAAAATGTGTAAAAAATGTGGAAAGGATTTTATAAGACCAGATGGGTTAAAATGACACGTGAAATGTTACAACATCAAGCTAACATAATGAATTTATATTTTAAAAGCTTAATTGTGTTTGTCTATTTAATTATACCTTCTCCTGAATTCTGTCTTTTTGTTAATTAAGTCCTAAGGTCATCAAGAATTTTATATTTGGGTAAAGTAAACATGGACCAGAAAGAGATTTGAAATGTAAAAGTTCAATCAAGTTAAACAAATAATGGTACTTTAGAGACATATAGTGAGTAAGGGGGAGCAAATAGACAGAGGGAGACCTATAATTAGTGACTTAAAAAACCCTAAAAACGAGGTATGACTAGGGTACTAAATTACGTTTATTTTTAAACATTTATGATGGTAAAACATTTTATAAATAAGTATTTTTNGATAGTAATCGATAAAATGTATATTTAAATAAAGAAAAAATAATTTAAAAAATGTATGTACATAATTTTAATCAACATGATGCTGTTTTATTAAAATTTTTTTTTCCTTGGAAGCAATGTGTCTTCTTTTTTTTGAATAATTGACGGCAAGATTTTTGTTCATGCACAGCAGCTGTATCTCTCTTAAGACTTAAACAGTAGCTTGCCAACATGTTCTCATCCCAAAGTCCTTGGTACCGGACCTTAAACTTTTAAAGCTCCTGATGGAATCTTTCTCCGTGTTCTTCGCTAAAGCCTCATAAGTTTTGAGGAAAATATTTGAGATAAGAGTCCAAGAAGTGGAGTTTGAAGTTCATGAGGTATTTCAAATGTATGTATGTAACCAGAGTGTCTTTTTTACCCTGGCGTAATCTGAGCTAAGATCGATGTTAACAGACACAACATCAATTTTCATCATTTGTTTATTGTGAATCACGATGTATTTTTTTACATCCATCTACAGTCCAGATGTAAGACCTAATCCATTCTCCTGTTGTCAATGTACAAATTATAAATGTTGATGTAGTGTTTGTTTACGTCAAACTCTAATGTAAGGCTCTAGCGAGAACAGGTTATTCTAAGCTTACTATTTTTCTGTATAAAATAGGGATAGACCTAAAATTAGTAGAAAAAATCTAACTATTTTTCGAACTATAGATCCATCGTAGTTATTGCTGATTCCTGCTTCCTTTTTATGTAGCCCTTACTATGTTTAGAAAGTATATCTGTACTTCATGTGGAATTTAGGGTAATTTTAGATAGAGCTGTTAGGCACATCAGTTTACAGAATTTCTTTTTTTAAGATATATAACTAGTCATGCTTTAACATTTGGTGAGTACTGAATTATTACGTGAAAAAATTCTCAATCATATTCAATCTTATTCTACTTTAGGTGTGAGCAAGGTTAGAATTTTAAAATAAAATTTTTGATAATTTTCAGGTACAAGAAGAAATGCAACACATTTACCAGCCTATTTCAACCAGTCATGAAAATAATGTTCATCCTATTTTAGAAGATATTAAAATAAGTTGTAGTGATATCAAAAGTACCTCAACAATTACTGATGTGGATGAAAATCGTGAAAGCTGTTCAATCGTAATAAATAAAACTCAAGATGAAGCTTTCCAAGAAGCAAATAATTATGTATGCTCCGAGATGTTGGATTGTACTTGGTCATCTAGTGCTAACGAAAATTCTGTTGAGCATAATGTAAGTCTAGCAAAATTATAAATTGTCTTGAATAGTTAACTTCTTATTTCTTAAATAATTTAATTTGATATTACACGTACAGTGGATCACGTTTACAGATTGTTGAGAGGCTATGGACCGAATGTTATTTAGATAAAATGTTATATGTTTGCGAAACTTATTTAATACCGTTACCTGTGTTTATAATCTGATCACACTTAAAATTTTTAACAAACTACGACAATTGAACTTACTGGAAAAAAAAGTGACACTTATTTCACTAAAAAAGTACACTCACACTTTTGATTTGTGTTGAAATATTTACATTAAAACATTAGTTATAACAGTGAAGTGAAATGACATAACTGAGTGATTCCTTATTTCAGATTAAATATAGCTAAGTTCATAAATCCTAAATTAGCTAATTCCTTACATGAATTCATTGAGGGCTAAAAGTTATTTTTTTTTTTAAATAAATAAACGATGTCTGTACATGTTTTGCAGTAATCACTTGCATCTTGCAGTACTTTTACTTATCAGATATTCTCATTTTTTAGAGTTGATGCTTCTTTACTGTTATTACTTCTGTTACAAGAAAGGTTTAATGAAAAAAATTTCAACAAATTTAAGGCCTATACATGTACTTATTAACCTGGAATTGGATGAATTAAGTCGTTTGTTACTTTTGTAAACCGTTCTTGCAAAAGAGATTGTAGAGCTTCTCTCAATGCAACCAAAGAATAAGCCACGTTGCCCACATGAATGTATGTCATTCATACTTGATTTATGTATATGTGTTAAGTAATACGTTTATAAGTACTTAACCTCAATGTATTTGACTAACTTTTAAGTATTGCCAGAAAAAGTATAGTGCTGTAATGGATTTCACTTAACGAAAAACGCGTTCAGATGAAACGTTGTTACTAGGTTTAGTTCTAACGAAAGGTCTTATTGCACACTAGGGGAGACTATAAATACGTGGATCTAGTATGATTCTTCAGCGGAATTCAATTATTTAGAAACCGTAACGTTTCGACAGAGCTGAAAAAGTTTAAATTCCAACGAGAGATTTCATCGTAAACACCAAGTAGAAGATCCGAGAGATGCCTAGGTCTAGTCGCGTCTGACCGTATTGGACATTTCTGAAACACCGTCTTTATCAAGCTAATTGAGAACCATTAGTTTAGAATAGAAACGGACAGTACTATGTATCTTATAGATGCATATACACTGTAATTACACACCATAAACAGCCATACACGAGCAAAAAATAAAATATTGTGCAATCCGTATCTCGAAGTTGTTTTGTTAAAGGCTTGCTTCTTGTAAAATGGAGGTTGTTTTAAAACTCACTTTATCTATTGCTTATTGAAGTGGATGTGTTTGTTGCTAAATAGGTCATATTGCTGGAGTTTGCAAAAAAGCCATTAAAACAATAGATAAAAGAGTTCGGAAAAATAAATTTAGGCTGAAAATTGCAACAGATTTTACATTTAATAAGAAATATTAATAAGTTTGATCCGATAGAGGAAAGTTCGTACATTGAATGACCGTATGTTATTTAGAATAAGAGAGCTTGTGTTTACGTGAGGATCAATAATGATCAGTATTTTATGTTGGCAGTATTATCTGCTATTCAACAAGCAGAAGCGTACACTGACCGTATCAATCAGTACATGTAGTATTAAGTTTCCAGTATCAGTCAATGATATTATAAAATTTACAAATAAAATCTTGTCTTTGTGAACCTGTATATTTGTTAAAGAGTTGAAAATAATTACACCGTTGCTTCATGCTATATAACTTCGGTAAAGAAAGTAAAGAATGCAAATTTATTACTCGTTCAGAATTACCATACTGACAAAAATGAGGAACAAATAGAAAAGTATGATAAAGCTGCTAGTAAAATGAGTGTTTCAGAACTTGAAATCTACTATGTGTGGATTAAAAATTCATTACGTATTTTGTACATTACGTAAAAATTCATTATTGTATTTCATAATCTGACTGGATATGACTTTTACTTTATAATAAAAGAAGTAGCGACAGACTTAAAAGGTCGTGTAACACTAATTGCTGACAATAGAGAAAAGTACATATTTTTTGCGAAATGTATTTGATCGTAGTCATATTCATTTCAGATTTATTGACTTACTCAAATTCATGCCGTCATCGATACAAAAAAAAGCCTCTTACTTACTTGGATCGATACGATATAACTTCAAATGCATTTCTGCAAGATGGTTACACTCAAGATCAAAAAAAGTAATTATGAAGGAAAGGTGTTTTCCCGTATGATCGCGGTAGTTCTCTTCAGAAGCTTAAAGATGTACAATTTTTTAGTAAAGAAGACTTATATAACAAACTTACCGAGAACGACATCTCTAATAATGACTATCATCATGCTTTAAATGTATGTAAAACATTCAGTATCAAATCTTTTGGTAAATACTCAGACTTATACTTGAAGACTAATGTTTTATTGCTTGCAGATGTTTTAAAAAATGTTCGTACAACCTGTATACACGCGTATGGACTTGATTCTACACACTACTACACGACAACTGGTTTAACATGGGATGCCATGTTGAAATAAATGCAAGTTGAATTAGAGCTTCTCACTAATATAGGTACGTCATTATTTATCGAGAGAGGTATTAGGGGTGGTATAAGTCAATGTTGTAACCGGTATGTGGACGCAAACAATAGATACATGAACGAAGGATATAATCCCGTAGAAAAAGAACAATTTCTTACGCACTACGATGCCAATAATCTCTACGGTTGGGCTATGTTACAGATCTTACCATGCAGTGGCTTTGAATGGACAAGTGATCTAAGTAGATTATGTCCTGAACATATGACACCACTCGTTACAAAGCAGAAGAAACTTATGACATTTTTCTACAATAAGGAACATGATATCATACACTATTAGGCTCTACAGCAAGCTTTAAAACATGTATTAGTCTTACGTAAAATGCATAAAGCATTAAAATCCGAAAGAATAATAATTAATATGAGTTGAAGAAACTCTTCTTTAAGCTGTTAATAAACGAGGTTTACGGAGTGACAATCGAAAATGAACGAAATAGAGTCGACGTAGAGCTTTTTGATAAATGACATAGGTGATACAATGCAAAGACCCCTACTGCTAAACCGAACTTCCACAGTCGTACCACATTTGCTGAAAATCTTGTGGTCATACAACTCGCTTGATCAGATATTACAATTAGAAAGCCTATCTTCGTTAGTCTTAGTGTACTCAATGTATCGAAAAGCTTAATACTTGCTTTTCGTTATTTATATACAAAGCAGCGTTTCGGAAGTATGTACAAGTTATTATCCACAGACAGTGACGACTTGATCTAAAAAATTAAAGATACAGACATTCATAAAGTAATAGGTGAAGATATTGATAAGTTCGATTTATCAGATTATGTAGACAGCAATTATTTCAATTTACCTTGAAGGAATGAGAAAGTAATTGGGCTCATTAAGAATGAGTGTTGTAGTGAAATTATACTTAAAGTGATCGCTATATGTAGTGAAGTGTATTGTATCCGTGTGCAATATGATAAGATAATTCAAAATACAAAAGGTGTTGAAATAGCTGTTGTCAATACAAAAATAAGATTTAAAGACTATGTTGATTATTTATTTAAGAAATCAAAAATTTCATGCGTGCAAAATTTCATTTGTTTCAAGCGACATGACGTTAACACTGAAAAACACAAAAAACAGCTTTGAGTCTAAAAGGTGATAAGTGCCATCTGCTGCAGAAGTCTACAGGTACACTGCTTTGGGGTTGTAAAATCACAATGGAAAAAAAAGATAGAGCATTCCTAAAAATCCTACTGCAGGGAAAAAAGTAGAAGTAGACAAAGAGTTATAGCCAATAAAGATTAAAGACCTTGGAGTACGAGAAACTTCTGGAGAGAGAATATCTCTATATCAGGAGGTGCCTCAGCCTGTGCCTTTAGATTCACCTCCCAACAAGGAAGTTATCAGAGTTGGAGAAGGATAGGAAATGTATAGTAACCGACCTCAGGAAGGCTATGACCTGCTTGGGTTGCAAGGGCATCATCACTATCCACGATAAGTACCAAGTCCTTGTTCCAGATCGTGTCTCCAAAGCTATAGAAAAAATAATTAATACTTATTAAGTACATTGAGATGAAAAGTTCAAAGTTATGCTTAATTCTTAGTTAATCATAGTCAGAATAAGTTTGAATTTGCAGATTTGAAACGTACGTATGTATGTATAAATAAATGTATCTGTATAAATAACTTTCTCTCTCTCCCTCTCTCCCTCTCTCTCTATATATATATATACATATGTATGTATGTATGTATGTATGTATATATATATGTATGTATGAGGCATTTCATGTCAGCTTGGCCACCTCCTGCTGTCCAAAATACATTTGTTTTTTTTTTTTTCAATCAAAAACCGTAGAAATTTTAGCTTATAATCTCTAGTTTTTAATGCCAAATGGAACTTTGTGAAAATTTAAAATGGTGGTGCCAATATGGTGGCTACAAGTGGAAGACATCACTCCAAAAAAACAGTTTTACGTACTACACTTCAATTAAGGGTGTTTAAAATTAAAGGTTTTACATTATTTTTATGTGTTATTGACTGCTGAATACGACTGTGGTGACTAGCATCTACTGAGAGCATTAATCTCGTAACTAGCATCTACTAAGAGCATTTTAAAATGAGAAATTTAACTTTTTAATATGCAATTTTTACCTACTTTCAAAACTATGGCTATGTGGAAGTCCATTGACCCAAAATTTCTTACCTAACCTCAAAATATACCTAAAAAATGCAAATTTTCATAACTTATACCGACCGAGTGCTTTTTTAACTAAATAAATTCAACTTGTTAAAATGCATATCAGACCACAATTCAGAATATTAGCTATATAAGAGATCATCTACGCTAATTTTTGCACCTAACCTCAAAATAAATCCAAAAATCGCAGATTTTTGTAACGTACAGCGTCTGGAGGTC